CCTCACGGAGACTCGATGACCTCACAGAGACTTGATGACCTCACAAAGACTCGATGATCTCACGGAGACTCGATAACCTCACGGAGACTCGATAACCTCACGGAGACTCGATGACCTCACGGAGACTCGATGACCTCACGGAGACTCGATGACCTCAAGGAGTCCTCACGGAGACTCGATGACCTCACAGAGACTTGATGACCTCACAAAGACTCGATGATCTCACGGAGACTCGATAACCTCACGGAGACTCGATAACCTCACGGAGACTCGATGACCTCACGGAGACTCGATGACCTCACGGAGACTCGATGACCTCAAGGAGTCCTCACGGAGACTCGATGACCTCACGGAGTCCTCACGGAGACTCGATGACCTCACGGAGTCCTCACGGAGACTCGATGACCTCACGGAGACTCGATGACCTCACAGAGACTTGATGACCTCACAAAGACTCGATGATCTCACGGAGACTCGATAACCTCACGGAGACTCGATAACCTCACGGAGACTCGATGACCTCACGGAGACTCGATGACCTCACGGAGACTCGATGACCTCATGGAGTCCTCACGGAGACTCGATGACCTCACGGAGTCCTCACGGAGACTCGATGACCTCACGGAGTCCTCACGGAGACTCGATGACCTCACGGAGACTCGATGACCTCACAGAGACTCGATGACCTCACGGAGACTCGATGACCTCCACTTCCTTTCTGCAGGTTGTTTGGAAGGATTCTGCGAAAACATGAAGTGTGTTTTCCATCTTTCTAAATCTGAATACACACTTTGTCTCTTTGATTTCAGTGCAGACTCAGAGGCATCAGATCGTTGTAAACTGGAGAAACCACAAAACAAACTGGGAGAGCGAGGAGACTGAAACCAGTAAACTCAGTAAATCTGCAGTTCTTCTTCCTTAAGTTTTCTGGTTTGTGTGTCAGAACATTTCTGTTTGTTGAGTCGATGTTTTGAAGCTGAAGTGATGAAATTATTTTTTTCTCCTCTGATCTGATGATAAACTTTGACTCATTTCTCTTCACCTGCTCACTTCCTGCGGCTTCGCTGCTCGTAAAGAACTGACTCAGTTCCTGTCGCTGCGCTTCACAACCCGCTGCGTTAGTAGTGCATGTGCTGCACGCTCTGTGTGTGTGTGTGTGTTCCTGTGTGTGTGTGTTTCAGCTGGGAGATGAATATCTGGGTTTCATCCATCTGATCCATGCGCTGGTTTGCAAACTGCAGGGCAGCAGCTGATTGGCTGCTGGTTTCCATGGCGCCGGCTCTCAGTCCTGTCTTCATCCACTGAATAAAAGATGTTTTTATAAAACATAAACTCTTGAATATTTAAATCTTAATTATCATAAAATACCCATTTTTAAACAGCAGTTTTATTGAAAACTCATCACAAATAAATAATAAGATGGCTGCTTTTAATTACTTTTTCACAAAGAGTTAATTCATATTCAATCAGGTAAACTTTTATATTAATATTTGTTTGTTGTTGGGGAAAATTTAAATGTGATTAAAAAGCAAAAACATCCCCTCTGCATGTTTCTATATTTATGCATCTTCAAATTTCTGCATTCAGTTTCCCTGAATGTCAGCAGCCTGCAAGAAAACTACAAACGAGAAGAAATCACATTTTAATCCAACATAAAAACATTGAAATACAAAGTTTTTAAAAACCAGCAGAAGAGAGGAAATGAAGTTTTATTTTTCTGTTTGGTGCTAAAGTCACAGAGTCGGGTCGAATCGGGTTCTGAGAGAAACACTTTTTATATAAATATTCTGCTTCAGATCAATTATTCCTAATGACCAGAAGAGATCACAGCGATCCATGGAAACAATCAGCAATAAAAACAGATCCTGATCAGAAAAATGAGAAGCAGGTGAGTTAATCAGATGATGAAGAACAGCTGGGAGAGAAAACAGGAAACTTTCAAATCAAAATGAACGAAACAGGAACAGAAAAGGTAAGAAACTAAAAGCTGCTTATGGATTTTAAACTGTTTATGTCAAATTTTCCACCAAGTAATCATTTGATGTTTTAGGTTAATATTATTATTATTATTTCTCCTGTTTCATAACAAACATGAAAACATTTATTGCAATGACTGGGAAGCAGCAGGATTATGTTTATGAAACAGAGCAGCAGTTCAACCAGCCGACCTGCAGAAAACAACCAGAGGCAGAGAGGTTAAAGGTCACAGCAGGAAGGAATTCACGGCCTCATTCATTCATTCATTCATTCATCAGCCGCTCATCAAAACCTAAAACAAAAATATAAGAGGAGTAGAAAAGAATAATTCAGGAAATGTTAGAATGCAAATTAAAACTTAAAATAGAAACTCTGCTGCATATTTTATTTGCTTTGAGGCTGAATTAGTGACAGGATGAATGAAAAGTTCAAATGAACTTTATGAATAAACTTAGAGGGAGCTGATCTGCAGAATCATCACAAACAGACCAGAAATGAACATAAACATGTTTTTATGTTTCACTGGGAAAAGTTCATAACCTGAGCGGTGGCGCCCCCTGGTGGAGCTCTGAACGAGTCATCAAATGAATGAATGAACTGCAACTTTAAAACAGCTTGGAAATGTTATTTAAACCTGCTGAAGATCCCTGGAGGTAAAACCGGAGACCCGTTTTGGGTATTTAATTAGATTTTACTGAAAAAGTTCAAATAAATTGCAAGCAGGGGAACAAACAGGTTTGAACTTTTATTGCATCAAATTTAATGCAAATCACATTATCCGTGATTAAAATAATTATTTTATGTTTTGAAAGAAGAAATTATTTATTAAAGCACCAAATTTGCTTTACAAGTGGAATAGAGAGAAAAATACTGACATCTTTTCTATCGTCTCCACTTTAATAAAAACTGACTCAGCATTTAATTTGGTTGTAGTTTCAGTTCGCGGCAAATAATCCAGACAAAAAAACTCATCACGTTTAAACATGAAGTGAAGAATCAAACATAACAGCAGAAGCTGCCATATTACATGATATTGTCCAGTTTGATTCTACTGGTTAAACTGAATGGAATAAAATTCAGTTTATAATGTTTATTTATTAAAGGAAGGAGAGAAATGATTCTTAACAAGACGGAACCAGAACCAGAACCAGAACCAGGACGATGGACCCGTTAAACACAGATCAACTGAACGGAACCAGAATCACTTTCTGAACAATAACAGATTTAATGTGAAACAGCTTGCCATAATGTGAAAAACCTCATGAAGCTCAGAGCCATAAAGCCATAAACTCCGTATTCTGCCAATAAATACAAAATATGACAAAAATCTGCAGGAACATTTTATGTTTCATATCCATGTGCAACAAATCGTAACAAAAACAGATCAGATTTATCCTCCAGTTCATTTTGTTAGTTTTCACAGAAATGCAAACCACATTCAGACTTTTGTTTCTGATGTTTAATAAATTTAGGTCACAAATTTAGTTTCTGTTTCGATGTGAAGCTGAGCAGCGTGTTGCGTTTGAGGACTGAAGGAGAATTTGCTGCTTTTCGTTTGAATTTCAATCCAGCCTCTGAAGGTTATTTATGCGAACCTTAAAGTTATAAAAATAAAACATATTTTGTTTTTTTATGCTAATAAATAGAAATATTTAATCATAAATTCGATTTTATTGCGACTCGCGTTTCGATCCGTTTTATTTTATTGAAACTGTCGCAGGTAAACAGGAAATAAAAACCTCCAGTTGAGTTGAGGCGGTGAAGATTCCTCCGGTCCGTGAACGCGTCACGCAGCCCGTTTAAACGCTGCGTCTCGTTTCCTGCGCGCAGAGAGCCGCAGTCCGCCGGGAGGTGAGTAACTCTGACCTGAACACGTTTCATCACTGCGAGCTGCAGCATCTCCGCTGCTGCAGCATCTCAGACCGGCTCGTTTTCACAGGAACGTTCTCCTGTGAACGTTCTCCTTTAACGGTTTTTCTCTGCGCGTTGTGAAGCTTCAACTCGTGATTTTCTTCCACCATCTATCTGCATAAACTTGAACCAGATGTTTTCCTCCGCTGTTTGGTAAAAACTTTCTGCTCAAACCTGAAACTGACATGAAGTTGTTTCTCTGTCGACATGAAGGATGTCTATAGGATGAACTCTGTAGTTGTTTCTCTGTAGGCGTCATAGCACGCAAAGTCTTTTTCAAAGTGTCTGCTTTGAAAGCATGTGGCGACGGTGGAGAAAGAAAGCCTCGTCATAAATACAAAATGCATTTTCTTTATGGAGCGCCAATGAGCTTAAAAACAATATATGAGGAATTAGAATAATTAGAATGAATGAGGTTTTATTGGAGTCGTTTCTATAGAAAGATAAATAAACTATAAAGGAAATCGATGCTTTAATGCTAATTTATTTTTATCTTCTTCCACGTCCTGATCATTAATGTTCTTAAAGGGCCAGTTGTTGCAGAATTTATTTCTGAAACCCGTTAAAATGATTTTTAAAAAGCCTCTGCATTCAATATGTTCAAACTCTTGATTGTTTCACTGATTTGTGTGAAGCTCATTTAAAAATATTCACAGGAAATTTAGCAGTATTTGCGCTCATGTAAGACGTTAGCTTGACATCCAGTTGTGGAAGCAGAGGAGTAAAAGAAGTGAGTATCGCCACCTGCAGGTGGCAGTTAGCATCACAGTTTATCACAATTATGCAGTAACATGAAAAAATGCAGGGATCACAAAATAACTAAAAACGAACACGCGCAAAATGTTTTAACACATTCTGTGAGTGTGGAAAAACAATGTGGGTTATGCTGTTTCTGTTCAATAAGAAAGAAAATTTAAATCACGTTTGCTTTATTTGTTGAAGCAATGCGTCATTAAAAACCTGAAGCTCATCATCCTGCTCCACTTCCTGTCGTCGTCTTCTTCGTTTCCTCCAGTAGTAACATCCTGCTGTTCATCATCTGATCTATTGGAGCCAAAACCAAAAAACAAGAAAATGTTTCAAAACTGAAAACATTTCAGACGCTGTAGGGCAGCCAGTCCCACCCGCTGACCCGATTCAGACGACGGCAGGAACCAGAACCACCCGCTGACCCGATTCAGACGACGGCAGGAACCAGAACCAGCCGCTGACCCGATTCAGACGACGGCAGGAGCCAGAACCTGTTCAGAGACGGAGCGTTTGCCAGCAGGCAGTGTCTTCTGATCTACGTCCTAGAAATCCTTTCTCCTAATCTGTAGGTAAAGATCAATTACTGCCACCGTGTTTAAGAGTACAGCAGCTGGTTCTGGTTCTGGTCGGGTTTGGGGTCTAGTCAAAGGCCTCTCAGAAAACAAAGGTTCTGTGTGAGTTCTGATGACTGATCTGAAGGTCGCGGCCCGCCACGCCGCCGCGACCTTCGTCTGATCTAAGGTCAGTCAGAGGGGGGTGACCTTCATCATCCTCCTCTTCCTCACCTTCATCATCCTCCTCTTCCTCACCTCCATGGCTCTTCACAGAGGAAACGAAAAGAGAGGGAGAAATATTTCCTCCTGATGCTCAGAACCTGAAACTGACTAAAGATCAACGATTCATTTATTGATCCTCCTTTAATCCAGAGGATTATTCCAGTTATTTTCAGGCAGAATCCGTCCATTCATTCTCCATTTCAAGGTTTGACATTTTAAAATATGCTCTAATATGGAGCGGATATCAATAAACCTCCGCACCAGAACCAGCGCCATGGTCCAGTCGGTCCAACAGAACCAGCAGAACCCGTCCTGTTGCTCTGGGTCGAGTCGCCTCCTGCAGAGAGCGGCGCTGTGTGGCAGGTGGATTAAAGCGGCAGCAGAAACTCTGGCGCTTCTGGATGAACATCTGGCTGCTGCTGTAATCTCGTCAGTTTCTACACGCTGCAGCTTCAACCTGAAGTTCAGCCGATGAGCAGGAAGCAGAAAATCTCCCATTAAAATCCCTCAAAACGCTTCAGCTTCATTCCTCCAGAGGTTTTACTAAAAGGTAGAGAAGCAGGCAGGATAAACGGCAGATTAAAGATGTTTGATTAGTTTCACGGCTCTCAGGCCTTCCTCCTGCAGAGGTCAGAGGTCAGGTTTAGATGTTCAGACTCCTTGCTGTCAGCCTGCAGGATGAACTCAGACGGTTTTTCAGCCTTTGCACCGATCGGCTCTGTATCGTCAACCATTCTGTGCAAAATTCCTGAATTGCTTCGTTTCTTCCATTGAAACAACAAAACGTTTTTTAAATCTTTGAACGCCGGAGTCAGGATCGACTTTTTACTCATTTTCTGACAACCACAGGAGAATTTCATCGTGCTAAGCTCCTTAACTTTGACCTCTAACTCAGCTAAAAGCTCCTAAAGTTTCCGGAGGGAAAACGGCGATATGATGAATAAAAAGGTTTTCCAGATGAAGTGCAGAGAACAGAATCTGGTCGCTGTCCGTCTGTCAGACGTTAGAAACATTAAAAAAACTGAAATGTAACTTTAAAATCTGAAAATAAAAAACAAAACATTTCAACTGATTATATGAGGAACCTGAGGAAGAAACACAAACCTGAGATTATATCTGTAAATGTGATCATTTATCAATTATATCAGGATTATATGTCCAATCCCTTATATTCCTTATCAATAAAGATATATTCAAACCAGCAGTGCACCAAAATTATAAACATGGATATAGATTCAAAAATTACGAATATTATTAGGCAATAATATTGTCTGTTTGACAAATTCAGAATTTTTTTCTGAATTTTTAAAAAAAATTTAGAAAAATTTCCTAGAAAATGAAATAAATATTCTCAGTATGTCGACTAGAGGAATAAAATAAAAGTTTTACCACGAAACTAATAAATATTTAACCTCCTTTAAGTTAAACCCTGATATAAATTAATAAATTATATAGAAAATCTTCTCAATATTCTCAGATTGTCGTGACTCCCTGAGGAATAAAATACTTTTATCCCCATGTTTGAAATGATTTTCAATGAGAAATTAACTCTAGTTTTATATTAACCAAAAGTTTAAAAATTCATAAGAAAAATTTAGAAACTGAAGTGAAGTTTGATTGATCTGCAGCGACTGCAAGCAGAAAATAAACTTCTGGCAGTTTGATCAGTTTCAACAAATTCTGTTTTTCATATTTAATGTTTTTAGTTGTTTTTTCTCTGTAAAGTTGATCTCTGGCTGAAGTTGCATCAAACCCCCTGAGAAGGAAAACGTTCAACAGGAAGTGTGGTTGGTGTTTAGTGCCGTGAACTCCGGAAGTTTGACTCCACCCACTCAAATGTATCAACAGGTCGCAGCTGCTGCAGCAGCTCCTGCAGCATCTCCCGCGCGACGCCGCCGCTACAGCAGCAGCTCCCCGCGCAACGTCGCTGCAGCAGCAGCTCCCCGCGCAACGTCGCTGCAGCAGCAGCTCCCCGTGCGACGCCGCTGCAGCAGCATCTCCCCGCGCGACGCCGCCGCTGCAGCAGCAGCTCCCCGTGCGACGCCGCCGCTGCAGCAGCATCTCCCCGCGCGACGCCGCCGCTGCAGCAGCAGCTCCCCGTGCGACGCCGCTGCAGCAGCATCTCCCCGTGCGACGCCGCTGCAGCAGCAGCTCCCTGTGCGACGCCGCTGCAGCAGCATCTCCCCGCGCGACGCCGCTGCAGCAGCAGCTCCCCGTGCGACGCCGCTGCAGCAGCAGCTCCCCGTGCGACGCCGCTGCAGCAGCAGCTCCGTGCGACGCCGCCGCTGCAGCAGCATCTCCCCGTGCGACGCCGCTGCTGCAGCATCTCCCCGTGCGACGCCGCTGCTGCAGCAGCAGCTCCCCGCGCGACGCCGCTGCAGCAGCAGCAGCTCCCCGCGCGACGCCGCTGCAGCAGCATCTCCCCGCGCGACGCCGCTGCAGCAGCAGCTCCCTGTGAGACGCCGCCGCTGCAGCAGCAGCTCCCCGCGCGACGCTGCAGCAGCATCTCCCCGCGCGACGCCGCTGCAGCAGCAGCTCCCCGTGCGACGCCGCCGCTGCAGCAGCATCTCCCCGCGCGACGCCGCCGCTGCAGCAGCATCTCCCCGCGCGACGCCGCCGCTGCAGCAGTAGCTCCGTGCGACGCCGCTGCTGCAGAAGCAGCTCCCCGCGCGACGCCGCTGCAGCAGCATCTCCCCGTGCGACGCCGCTGCAGCAGCAGCTCCCTGTGCGACGCCGCTGCAGCAGCATCTCCCCGCGCGAAGCCGCTGCAGCAGCAGCTCCCCGTGCGACGCCGCTGCAGCAGCAGCTCCCCGTGCGACGCCGCTGCAGCAGCAGCTCCCTGTGCGACGCCGCCGCTGCAGCAGCATCTCCCCGTGCGACGCCGCTGCAGCAGCATCTCCCCGCGCGACGCCGCCGCTGCAGCAGCAGCTCCCCGCGCGACGCCGCTGCAGCAGCATCTCCCCGCGCGACGCCGCTGCAGCAGCAGCTCCCTGTGCGACGCCGCCGCTGCAGCAGCAGCTCCCCGCGCGACGCCGCTGCAGCAGCAGCTCCCCGTGCGACGCCGCTGCAGCAGCATCTCCCGCGACGCCGCTGCAGCAGCAGCTCCCCGTGCGACGCCGCTGCAGCAGCATCTCCCCGCGCGACGCCGCTGCAGCAGCAGCAGCTCCCCGCGCGACGCCGCTGCAGCAGCAGCAGCTCCCCGCGCGACGCCGCTGCAGCAGCAGCAGCTCCCCGCGCGCCGTCCGGCTCTGTCCGGTTTTCCTGGCTCATATCTGTTTTTGGTTCTGGTTCTGAACGTGCGGCTCGTTATTTCTGGTCTCTTTGACCAACTGCTGAATATTAATCTGGAATCGTTGGCGATGATCCTGCTCCCCTGGACTCTGGCGCCCTAAAATAAAATCTAATGTATCAAATTCCTGGAATACTTTGGTTTTCCTGTAAGGTGTCAAAATGTTTTTAGCTGATGTTTGATGAAGACAGACGGTTCATATTCACAGTAAAACTCATTTAAAACATTTTGTCAGATTTCAGACTTTAAACATCAAAACTTTTTGCTAATTTTTCTAAAGTTGCTCAACAAAAAAATGTATCTTATTGATTTTAATTGCAAAAAAAAAATCCCAAATTTAAAGAAGTTATTGATTACAAGCAACTATTCTAAAAATACTTTAACAGTTTATTAGACCAAATGGAAATGAGTTTGGGCTTCAGGTTCTGGTTCTGGTTCTGATTTAATCTGCTAAAACCCAACTGGACCAGCTGCGGGTCCTGGAACCAGTTCTGGTCAGAGCGCTGGTTCCTGGTCTGCGTTTAGGATTTCATATCTATTAATAGGGATGACACACACACACACACACACACACACACACACACACACACACACACACACACACACACACACACACACACACACACACACACACACGTTCTTCTAAATCCAGCAGTGACTCAGGTGTCAGTGGGGCGGAACCAGGTCCAGAACTCTCTGGGAGCCGGGCAGATTGTGCCGGCTTCTCTGAGGTTCTGGTTCTGATCAGACCGTCGGTTCTGCCTCTGAGCGTTGAAAGATTTCAGCAGTTTGTGTTTTTCTGGGTCTTTGACTGAATTTGTTTCTGACGGATTTTGTGGTTTCGTGATGAAATGTTTCTCTTCCTCTGCAGGTCGTTTGATACGAAGACGGAAAAACTTTAAAAACGCTCACTTCCTGTCGCCAACCTCCCCCCGCCAGCCGCTCTGCCGCCTGCAGAGAGACGGCGCCGTGCTGCAGCACGCGCTGCGAGGGAACCTGGAAACATCCTGATTTAACCTGGAATTGTCCTGATTTTTCCTGGAGGAGCCATCATCAGACATGTCTCCTTTCCTGCGGATCGGCTTCTCCAACTTTGAGATGGATCCCGGCTTGGCGTACTACGAAGAGGCGCTGAACCCGTACTGCGCCGTCTACATGAAGGAGGCCGTGGACACAGGTCAGTGGCTCCCGACCAACTCTAACTCGTTTTCCATGTCCACTAAAGTGGATCTGAAGCTCCTTCCAGCCTACTTCATGCTGTCAGACGGGCTCCGCTCCAGAATCTGTTTAACAGTAAAAAGCATTTAATTCATTGATTAGATCCAAACGAAGGGATGGAAAGAGAAAACCTGTTTGAACCCTAAAGTTAATACATCCTAAAGTAAATACATCCTAAAGTAAATACATCCTAAAGTAAATACATCCTAAAGTTAATATATCCTAAAGTAAATACATCCTAAAGTAAATACATCCTAAAGTAAATACATCCTAAAGTAAATACATCCTAAAGTAAATACACCCTAAAGTAAATACATCCTAAAGTAAATACACCCTAAAGTAAATACATCCTAAAGTAAATACATCCTAAAGTAAATACATCCTAAAGTAAATACATCCTAAAGTAAATACATCCTAAAGTAAATACATCCTAAAGTAAATACACCCTAAAGTAAATACATCCTAAAGTAAATACACCCTAAAGTTAATATATCCTAAAGTTAATATATCCTAAAGTAAATACATCCTAAAGTAAATACATCCTAAAGTAAATATCCTAAAGTAAATACATCCTAAAGTTAATACATCCTAAAGTAAATACACCCTAAAGTTAATATATCCTAAAGTAAATACATCCTAAAGTAAATATATCCTAAAGTTAATATATCCTAAAGTAAATACACCCTAAAGTTAATATATCCTAAAGTTAATATATCCTAAAGTAAATACACCCTAAAGTTAATATATCCTAAAGTTAATATATCCTAAAGTAAATACACCCTAAAGTTAATACATCCTAAAGTTAATATATCCTAAAGTAAATACATCCTAAAGTAAATACATCCTAAAGTAAATATATCCTAAAGTAAATACATCCTAAAGTTAATACATCCTAAAGTAAATACACCCTAAAGTTAATATATCCTAAAGTTAATATATCCTAAAGTAAATACACCCTAAAGTTAATATATCCTAAAGTTAATATATCCTAAAGTAAATACACCCTAAAGTAAATATATCCTAAAGTAAATACATCCTAAAGTTAATACATCCTAAAGTAAATATATCCTAAAGTTAATATATCCTAAAGTAAATACACCCTAAAGTTAATATATCCTAAAGTAAATACACCCTAAAGTAAATATATCCTAAAGTTAATATATCCTAAAGTAAATACACCCTAAAGTAAATATATCCTAAAGTAAATACATCCTAAAGTTAATACATCCTAAAGTAAATACACCCTAAAGTTAATATATCCTAAAGTTAATATATCCTAAAGTAAATACACCCTAAAGTTAATACATCCTAAAGTTAATATATCCTAAAGTAAATACACCCTAAAGTTAATATATCCTAAAGTTAATATATCCTAAAGTAAATACATCCTAAAGTAAATACACCCTAAAGTTAATATATCCTAAAGTAAATACACCCTAAAGTTAATACATCCTAAAGTTAATATATCCTAAAGTAAATACATCCTAAAGTAAATACACCCTAAAGTTAATATATCCTAAAGTTAATACACCCTAAAGTTAATACATCCTAAAGTTAATATATCCTAAAGTAAATACATCCTAAAGTAAATACACCCTAAAGTTAATACATCCTAAAGTAAATACACCCTAAAGTAAATACACCCTAAAGTTAATACATCCTAAAGTAAATACATCCTAAAGTAAATACATCCTAAAGTAAATACATCCTAAAGTAAATACATCCTAAAGTAAATACATCCTAAAGTAAATACACCCTAAAGTAAATACATCCTAAAGTAAATACATCCTGAAGTTAATACACCCTAAAGTAAATACATCCTAAAGTGAATACATCCTAAAGTAAATACATCCTAAAGTAAAAACCCTAAAGTTAATACACCCTAAAGTTAATATATCCTAAAGTTAATATATCCTAAAGTTAATATATCCTAAAGTAAATACACCCTAAAGTAAATACATCCTAAAGTTAATACATCCTAAAGTTAATACATCCTAAAGTAATACATCCTAAAGTAAATACACCCTAAAGTAAATACATCCTAAAGTAAATACATCCTAAAGTAAATACATCCTAAAGTTAATACATCCTAAGTAATACATCCTAAAGTAAATACACCCTAAAGTAAATACATCCTAAAGTAAATACATCCTAAAGTAAATACATCCTGAAGTTAATACACCCTAAAGTAAATACATCCTAAAGTAAATACATCCTAAAGTTAATACACCCTAAAGTAAATACATCCTAAAGTAAATACATCCTAAAGTAAATACATCCTAAAGTAAATACACCCTAAAGTTAATACACCCTAAAGTAAATACATCCTAAAGTTAATACATCCTAAAGTAAATACATCCTAAAGTAAATACACCCTAAAGTAAATACATCCTAAAGTAAATACATCCTAAAGTAAATACATCCTAAAGTTAATACATCCTAAGTAAATACATCCTAAAGTAAATACACCCTAAAGTAAAACATCCTAAAGTAAATACATCTTGAAGTAAATACATCCTGAAGTTAATACATCCTAAAGTAAATACATCCTAAAGTAAATACACCCTAAAGTTAATACTCCCTAAAGTAAATACACCCTAAAGTAAATACATCCTAAAGTAAATACACCCTAAAGTAAATACACCCTAAAGTTAATACATCCTAAAAATACATCCTAAAGTAAATACATCCTAAAGTTAATACATCCTAAAGTAAATACATCCTAAAGTTAATACACCCTAAAGTAAATACATCCTAAAGTAAAAACACCCTAAAGTTAATACATCCTAAAGTTAATACATCCTAAGTAAATACATCCTAAAGTTAATACATCCTAAAGTAAATACATCCTAAAGTTAATACATCCTAAGTTAATACACCCTAAAGTAAATACACCCTAAAGTTAATACATCCTAAAGTAAATACATCCTAAAGTTAATACATCCTAAAGTAAATACATCCTAAAGTTAATACATCCTAAAGTTAATACATCCTAAAGTAAATACATCCTAAAGTAAATACATCCTAAAGTAAATACATCCTAAAGTTAATACATCCTAAAGTTAATACATCCTAAAGTAAATACATCCTAAGTTAATACATCCTAAAGTAAATACATCCTAAAGTAAATACATCCTAAAGTTAATACATCCTAAAGTTAATACATCCTAAAGTTAATACATCCTAAAGTAAAAACACCCTAAAGTTAATACATCCTAAAGTTAATACATCCTAAAGTAAAAACACCCTAAAGTTAATACATCCTAAAGTTAATACATCCTAAAGTTAATACATCCTAAAGTAAATACATCCTAAAGTTAATACATCCTAAAGTAAATACATCCTAAAGTTAATACATCCTAAAGTTAATACATCCTAAAGTAAAAACACCCTAAAGTTAATACATCCTAAAGTTAATACATCCTAAAGTAAATACATCCTAAAGTTAATACATCCTAAAGTAAATACATCCTAAAGTTAATACATCCTAAAGTAAATACATCCTAAAGTTAATACATCCTAAAGTTAATACATCCTAAAGTAAATACATCCTAAAGTTAATACATCCTAAAGTAAATACATCCTAAAGTTAATACATCCTAAAGTAAATACATCCTAAAGTTAATACATCCTAAAGTTAATACATCCTAAAGTAAATACATCCTAAAGTTAATACATCCTAAAGTAAATACATCCTAAAGTGAATACATCCTAAAGTAAATACATCCTAAAGTAAATACATCCTAAAGTAAATACACCCTAAAGTAAATACACCCTAAAGTTAATACACCCTAAAGTAAATACATCCTAAAGTAAATACATCCTGAAGTTAATACACCCTAAAGTAAATACATCCTAAAGTGAATACATCCTAAAGTAAATACACCCTAAAGTTAATACTCCCTAAAGTAAATACATCCTAAAGTAAATACATCCTAAAGTTAATACACCCTAAAGTAAATACATCCTAAAGTAAATACACCCTAAAGTTAATACACCCTAAAGTAAATACATCCTAAAGTAAATACACCCTAAAGTAAATACATCCTAAAGTAAATACATCCTAAAGTAAATACATCCTAAAGTAAATACATCCTAAAGTTAATACACCCTAAAGTAAATACACCCTAAAGTAATACATCCTAAAGTAAATACATCCTAAAGTAAATACATCCTAAAGTTAATACACCCTAAAGTAAATACACCCTAAAGTAAATACATCCTAAAGTAAATACATCCTAAAGTAAATACACCCTAAAGTTAATACATCCTAAAGTTAATACATCCTAAAGTAAATACATCCTAAAGTTAATACATCCTAAAGTAAATACATCCTAAAGTTAATACATCCTAAAGTAAATACATCCTAAAGTTAATACATCCTAAAAGTTAATACATCCTAAAGTAAATACACCCTAAAGTAAATACATCCTAAAGTAAATACACCCTAAAGTAAATACATCCTAAAGTAATTACATCCTAAAGTAAATACATCCTAAAGTTAATACATCCTAAAGTAAATACATCCTAAAGTTAATACATCCTAAAGTAAATACATCCTAAAGTTAATACACCCTACAGTTAATACATCCTAAAGTTAATACATCCTAAAGTAAATACATCCTAAAGTTAATACATCCTAAAGTAAATACATCCTAAAGTAAATACATCCTAAAGTTAATACATCCTAAAGTCAATACATCCTAAAGTAAATACATCCTAAAGTTAATACATCCTAAAGTAAATACATCCTAAAGTAAATACATCCTAAAGTAAATACACCCTAAAGTAAATACACCCTAAAGTAAATACACCCTAAAGTTAATACATCCTAAAGTAAATACATCCTAAAGTAAATACATCCTAAAGTAAATACACCCTAAAGTAAATACACCCTAAAGTTAATACATCCTAAAGTTAATACATCCTAAAGTAAATACATCCTAAAGTTAATACACC